AGGGTTAAAAGGCGAAAAATTCCTTATGCAAAGGAGGCCCATAGTTCTCTCTCCTCCCCCTACAGTTAGCACTAACTGTAAGCAGACTCAGAGTTACTGTGACTGTGGAGTTTGGCAGCAACTACCTTAACCTTTTTAATTATTTTAAAAATTCTTTTTAAATTCTTTTCTTTTCCTCATAACACTGGTGAGGCCCCGCCTCCCCTGCCTCCGCTGACTGCACGTCCCTGAACAAATGCATTGGGGAAAGCAGGGAGTGATCATGTTCATTTAATGTGATTCAATCAAACATATCGGGGTAGAAATGTAATTGGCAAACTCTATGACATTTGTATCTGGAGGACTACCTGTATAATGAGAGTAAGGGAGCGTTTCAGGGAAGCCCTGCCTTAGCACCACACGAGTCCCGTGTCATGCCCACCCTGGACATGCCCACCCAATCACATGACCACCGAGCCCCACCTACCCAGATGGGCATTAGGGCAGAGAATCGGTTGTTAAATGATTTGAATCCCACCACTAGGCTCACCTTCTTTGCAGCCAGCCCCAGGCCTTGGAGCAGGCTTCTTGGGGTGTAGGTTGGAGGCCTTCACGGAATTGGGAGTTGGCCCGAGGCTGTTGGCAGATTTACTGGAGAGTTTGGCTCCTCCTTCTTGGAGCCTGGACACCAGCCTTCCTACATCCACCTCTGCACAGGGTTCCCCAGTTCCACGGTTGTCTGGGCTGGGCCTTCCTGGATCAGGCTCTCCCGGCCTCTGTAGTCGGCTACGCTGGAGTGGTTTCGGAACATCAGGGCTGATGGCAGCTATTACGCCATTCGGGGTCCGGTCACAGCTGTCCTCTTCTAGAGCAAAAACAACAGATGGTCAGTTCTTAGGGCTGTGAGGGCGAACCTATGGCATATGTGCCACAGGTGGCATGCAGAGTTCTCTCTGTGGGCACATGAGCCGTTGCCCAGCTCAGCTCCACCATGCATGTGTATGCACCTCCCACCAGCAAGCTGATTTTCGGGTTTCTGCTGGCAAGTGGAAGATGCGTGCATGCACAGGGGGGTCAGGTGCACATGCGCAAGGGAGGGGGGTTGTGTGCACATACATGGGGGGCAGGGGGAGCATAGGGTGGGTGCAGCACTCCCCTCTGCATCCCATTTTTGGTTACAGGAGGCTTCAGGGAGGTCTGCTAGGCCCAAAATGGGGCACGGGAGGGGATCACGCACATGTGTGATGGGGTGGAGGAGCACAGGGGGTCATGTGTGCATGCACAGGGGGCATTGCATTATGGGTGTGGGCATGCACGCTTTTGGCACGCGTGGAGAAAAAGATTAGCCAGCACCATCTTAGGGCATCCAGGCAAGTCAGAAATGGAGGGAAGCCTCTGCAAAGAAAACAATGGAAGCTGCACTTTCCCACACTGACATTATGAAATCCAGCTGATAGTAAATTTCTTGATTTTTCATCTGATGTCTCTGCAACTGTATCTTATTAACCTGTCCATCTCTCCTGATTGCATCTGATATTTTCCACTGAACCTGGATAGTGACTCTCAGCTATTCGGCTGACAAGTTGAAAGAGAAAACCCAACTCAAAGAATTCTGGCCACCAGGAACCTTTTCTGAGCCTACAGTTCATACATGAATAGTCTATTTCCAGGAGAAGAGGGCCAAGTCAGCAGGGGCAATAAAGATTTTTGGGAGGGCGGGGGGCTGAAAGAATGTCCACCTTTCAATCCCCTAAAATAAATCCACCCAAAAAACCTCTACACAAATATTGCCACAGAAATAGATTTCCCTATAAAGTGTTAAAAAGAACTCCTCAAATATTTTCTCCAAATATATAAATCTCATAATTAGTATTAGTATAAGGAACGGCAAGAATGACTGTAATAGATAGGAAATTTAAGAGTCGAGGTGGCGCAGTGGTTAGAGGGCAGTACTGCAGGCTATTTCAGCTGACTGCTAACTGCAGTTCGGCATTGAAATCTCACCAGGCTCAAGGTTGACTCAGCCTTCCATCCTTTGGAGGGGAGTAAAATGAGGACCCAGATTGTTGGGGGCAATAGGCTGACTCTGTAAACTGCTTGGAGAGGGCTTTAAAAGCACTGTGAAGCAGTATATAAATGTAAGTGCTATTGGTAAATATATTTATAGGGCTTGGGGGCTTCAGGACATGCTTTCATTGAGCTCTCGGATGATGGCAATATGCCCTTTGCACTGTTAGTAAGATTGGAGGAGATGGTTTTCAGAAGCTGCTGCCAGGAAGGAAGAAGGTATGAGTTCAAATTCATTTCTGCCCAATTCAGTAGGCTGAAGGGAGAGCCATTACACTTCTGAAAGGCTGCCTCATCTCAACCCTAGGTTGTTCTGGGTGAGCTTACCTCAGCGAGCAGGATCATGGACTTCAATTACCCTCGGAGCCCATCCCAGAGTGCAGGTATTGCAATGCCCAACTCTTGTACGTGTGATGTTTAAGACCCTTGCATGTTCTGGCTCTCTTCCCTCTTCCGCTAGCAAAACTGCAGCACAAACCCGTGCTGGCTGTCAGCGTGATTATTCCAAGCACCTCCCCAATTCACCCTGAGGACAATGTTCTCCTACAACTTCAAACTTCTGAAGGAGCTAATGGGCCTTTGAAATACTTGAGTGTTGGAAGAACAGAAAGTACGGGCTTGGTCAGGAAAAGAGGCTCAGATTGGAAATCTCCAGTTCCTTTTGCAAAGTGACAATTCAAGTGGTCACTGGTTGCTGCTGTATTTTCGTGCTAGAGAATCCCAGAAGAACAGAACAATCCACATACCAAGTGCTGGAAATTAACAAGGCGTTAAATCTGTTGTGGTCTGCTAGCGGCCTGCACAGCTGACAGCAGAGTCGGACAGTGAGGAGGTTGGGGAGGAACATGGGCCAGTCCTGGAGTCTGGGGAAGGCTTGGACGAAGGGAGAGAGGAGGCCAGGGCCATCTGGGAGTTACGTGCTGCCTCTGGAGTCTCCAGAGTTGGACAGCAGCGAGGCAGAGAAACAGGCTCCTCCTGTTCCCAGTGCACACATGCACAGAGCTGCCAGAAGGCAAGAACAGTTAGGACAGAAGGGATGACTTGGGAGTAAGGCTTGGAGGTGATTGGCTCCTCCCATAGGACATAAAGGAGGAGCAAAGACAAGTGAGCCTTTGCAGGAAGCAACTTGGTTCATGCTGGTCAGTTTACCAACTGAAGCTCTGTTTTGACTCTTTGCTCTATGTGGCCTTGCAAAGCTAATTGCCAATTAAGTCTTTGGCAGCATTTCAAAGAAGATAAAGGTGGGTGCTTATCAGCCTTACCCCAAAGGACTTTGGCAGCCTACTGTAGGACTCTTTTCAATTATTTGGGACTCATTATGGGCTGTGAATGAACATAATTCACAGCCTTTGAAATAAAAAAAGGGTTTTGGGGACTAAGCATGTGCTTTTTACTGCAAGGAAGTCTAGGTCAGAACAAAAACCCGGATCCCAGATCTCTTTGTTCCAAGTGCAAACCAAGACAACATAGGCGTCCAGGCATTCAGTTTCCCATCTCATCATTGCCACAAACCCAAAGTCTAGGCAAGCCAGCAAGATCAATGTCCTCTAGCCTTATGGTAAAATCATGGCAGCAACGGTTTTGATCTGTTGTGCGAGAAACCAGAGTTCATCACTGCTTCAAAGTTCCAAAAACTTTTTGTCAGGGAGACTGCGGTGACCATTTCCCTTTCAACAACTGTTGCAAATTAACACCAGGCTTAATTTCTCTTCTATTGCTCTAAAAATGCCAGACTTTGTTTGACACATCAGGAAAGATAATGGCATTCATCCCTTGGCCGAGCACCATTAGAACCTGACCCTAATGAAGCGCCAACCTCTACTGATGGGTTTGTGCTATGAGGAGCAAGAGAACCCACCTTCGCTTTCTTCCATAGACCCTCCAAAGAAGAGGGGTCTCTCTCTCAGGGGGCGCTTGGAAATGGTGATGGGCTTATGCCTTCGAGTGGCTACCCGAGGAGGTGGGATAGGGGGTGCAGCATTGTCTTCAGGAGGCCCCGAATAGATCTATAAGGGAAAAAGTAATAAAAAAATGATTACTTTAACCTTTTTCCTGCTCTCTTATGCAGCAGAGAGATTACAAGCTACTATATACCCTGTTTCCCTAAAAAATAAGGCCTCCTCGGATAATAAGCCCAATTGGGCTTTTGAGTACATGTGCTAAAATAAGCCCTCCCCTGAAAATAAGCCATCCCTGAAAATATTGCAACACAGCAGCAGCCATGAGGTGACCACGCTTGCTGCCTCCTGCATCCCAAAAATAATTAGACCTCCTCAAAAATAAGGTCAATCACGTATTTCAGGGGTCAAAAGAAAATAAGACCCTGTCTTATTTTCAGGGAAACATGGTACAGAATTGTGTGAGAGACAACCCACATCTAATGATGTGATAACTGTTTCAGTGACTGAGCAGGATGATCTTGATGGGAGAATACGTTTAGAAGCAATGCAAAGTTTTCTGAAAGTGTCTGATGGATCAGAAAGAAGGTTCGTTCAGCTTGGACTCCTGCAGGGCCAATTCCCAAGAAGGCCACTAACAAGAAAATAGAGCTGTAACCCATTGCTGATCCCAGCAACTACCCTCACAGATTCTTTCAACCCCCCTTTAAAGCCATTTTAATTGGCAGCAAGGCTCAGTGGCTACGACACTGAGCTTGTAGATCAGAAAGGTCAGTAATTCAGTGGTTCGAATCCCTAGTGCAGCATAATGGAGTGAGCTCCCGTTACTTGTCCCAGCTTCTGCCAACCTAACAGTTTGAAAACATGTAAAAAATGCAAGTTGAAAAATAGGAACCACCCTTGGTGGGAAAGTATCAGCGTTCCATGCACCTTCGGCATTGAGTCATGCCGGCCACATGAACATGGAGATGTTCCCCAGTTCTTAGGCTTTGAAACGGAGATGAGCACTGCCCCTTAAAGTCAGGAAGGACTAGCATATATGTGTGAGGAGAACCTTTACCCTTAATCATCAGCACTTCTTCCAATTGGAATTCTTGGTATTGTGAGAAGGAATACAACATCTAGTGTCACATGAGGCATTAAACCTCTATCACTTTCCTCACCTGAGGCTTGATTTCATAAATATTCACAGTCATTATCACTGTCCAATTTCCTACTTTTCAGTGGCAAACTCCACCAGAGTCTTTGCCACAAATTCAAACCATACTAGCCTCTTTGGATGAGACACAGGGAAACCAAAGTTTCCCCCTTCGACTGCAGGCCCTGTGCTCTCCACGAATCATAATCAACAAAGTAGCTGAGGATTATGGAACTCAAGCACCAACATATTTGGAAGATGCAAGATTGAAGAGCTCTGTCCCCGAATTGAGTTTCCTGGAGATTGCAGAAGATTGGATTAGGGGACCCTTGCAATTCTACGAGATAAGATTCTGAGGACCCTTGCAACTCTCTGCGAGATATGATTCTGGAGTTGCAGGAACAAAAGGAAGGGATCCTGTTGCAATCTGGTGTGCCCGAAAGCTACTGTCTACCTCTGTCCCCAGAAGCAAGAAGAGAGAGCAAATTGCTGCAAGAGTTGCAGTCCAGAGGTGGGTTCCTAACAGTTCGGCTGAGTAGGTAGTAACTTGGCCAGCCACACCCATGAACTGGTTCTATCGGCAGCATCATAGGCGGCACCATCTTGTTTTTGCTTCTGCGCATGCGCAGAAGCAATTTTTTTTACTACTGCACATGAGCTCATTGTGCGCATTGCACTCATCAAGTGTGAATGCGTATCAAGCGCATCCCTGAGTGAACCAGCACTAACAGAAGCTGGAACCCAGTCTCAGGATGGAGGCACCAAGATGAGAACAACTTCACCTGCTGAACTTCTGCCAGATTACACAATTGTGAGACTGCAACCCAGATGAGAAAAAGATGCCCAAGGCACAGCCAGCCAAAGGAAACTCTTTAGAACTCCCAGCCAGGAAGAACCAAACTCCCTTTTATTCTTTTTTTTTTGGGGGGGGGGAGTGTTTGAGTCTTTGTCAGCTGGCCTTTCCCACACATTTTGAAAACCCACCCTTTACAACAACAAAAGACTGCAAATGAGGGAGTTATGCAGGCAGATGATCCCAAAAAAACATTACTGTTGTTAAATTACGCAAAAAAGTACATTTATTATTTTTGATGTGACATCCAAGCTAAAATGACTGTCAACAAAATCTTTTAATTATACATTACTAGCCTTTTGCAGATCTATCCAGTCTGATGAAGTCATGATGAACAGTTAGAAAACACTTGAGAAACACTTTTATTTGCAGAAAGCAGCATTTGGAATTGGTGTATTTTTGTTTACTTTGTTCCAGTATTTAAATCCCTTTATATATCTCAGGTATGCTCAGGCAGAACATCAAATTTCAGTTTGCCCTTTTCCTTCCTGCTTTCTTGCCTGCCTTCCTTCCTTCCCCTCCTCCCTCTCATCTTCTGCTTCTGAGTCAGTATTGATTTCTGACAATTGTCTGGACAAGTCCATCCAATTTTCTCCGCACATTTTCTTTTGATAGAGACTTCCCTCCTTCTTCGAGGGCTGCAAGAAAAGGATTAGCCCAAAGTGATCCATTAGGCTTTATGCTTAAGCAAGACTTAGAATAGAATAGTTGGAAGGGACCTTAGAGGTCTTCTAGTCCAACCCCCTGCTCAGGCAGGAAATCCTACACCACTTCAGACAAATGGTTATCCAACATCTTAAAAACTTCCAGTGTTGGAGCATTCACAACTTCTGGAGGAAAGCCATTCCATGGCTTAATTGTTCTGTCAGGAAATTTCTCAGTTCTAAGTTGCTTCTCTCCTTGATTAGTTTCCACCCATTGCTTCCTGTTCTGCCCTCAGGTGCTTTGGAGAATAGCTTGACTCCCTCTTCTTTGTGGCTACCCCTGAGATATTGGAACACTGCTATCATATCTCCCCTAGTTCTTCTTTTCATTAAACTAGACATACCTAGTTCCTGCAACTGTTCTTCATATGTTTTATCCTCCAGTCCCCTTATCATCTTTGTTGCTCTTCTCTGAGCAATTTCTAGAGTCTTAACATCTTTTTTACATCGTGGTGACCAAAACTGAATGACAAAACTGAATGATCATACTTGACTACATGGTATTCTGGTTTCTAATCCGGTGTTTTTAATCACAGTGTTGAGGGAACTCTCTAGTTTGGCATTTTTATTCCTTGCAGCTTATTGTTCCTTATTGTTCCTTGCAGCTTGGCAATATTCAATAGTTTGGCATTGTATGTATTAAATGTTTCGGTGGCTCTCCATGCTTCTTTTTGGTGCTGCAGAAGAGGAGGAGAATTCTGGGGTGTGGCCATCTGTGGTTTGCCATTTCCCTCAAAATGTGACCTCACAAATTAGGATAGAAAAGTATTGTTGGATGGTTGATACATTTAAAAATAGCCATTGTCTGGAAAATGCATTAAAATGACATTAAAGTTTTGTTCCAGGTTAGTGAGAAAGACTTTTGCAATACCAGATTACTTAGTTTTGTCGGCCAACTTTCAATTTGTCATAAAACAAATAAAATGGTACCCAGGAATTTTTTCCCCAATCTGGATATCTGACCTTTCAGTAAAAGAAAGAGAGAAAACTTCCACCACGTTCTGCTCTAATTTAAACTGGAGAAGTGAAAAATATATTGTGTAAACGTGATGTGATGATTTTTAAAATCTCTCATGGAAAGAAACTAAGATTGTTTCCAAAACAATTTTCAAGAGTTTGTGGTCCAGCCACATTAATTAAGTACATATGTTTGTGTCTTTCAGTAGTGTTGCTTCTGATTGGTGCAGAACATTTATTCTATACAATAACAATGTGGGATAGACAGACAGACCTCAGATGGATTTGTAACTGGCAGACCAGCCATACCCAGTGTGTAGTCTTCAACAGAACAACATCAACATGTAGGGAAGCATGAAATGGGGTACCACAGGGTTCTGTCTTAGGCCCAATACTCCTCAACAACTTCATAAATGACTTAGATGAGAGGATAGAAGGGGAGCTCATCAAATTTGCAGGTGGCAATAAGCTGGGAGAAAGCGCTAAGATTTAGAAGATAAGGTCAAGATATAAACTTAGGAAAGAAACACCAAATTCACAGGTACAAAATAGGTGTCACCTGGCTCAACAGTATTAACTGTGAGAGGGATCCTGGAGTCCAACAGACAATCACTTAACCTACTGGATAATCACTTAATCACTGCAGCTGCCAAAAAAGCCAATGCAGTCCTAAGCTGCATCACTATAGGGATAGCATCCAGATCACGAGAAGTGAAAGTACCACTCTGTGCTGGACTAGTGAGGCCACACTTGGAATACTGCATCTCATTCTGGCCACCACAATACCCAAAAATGTGCCAAGGAAAAGTTAAGGGAATTTAGCTTATCCAGCTTAACAAAAAGAAGAATGAAGGGGTGACATGATAGTTGTCTTCCAGGACATGAAGGGTTGCCACAAAGAAATGGTGGCTGACTCATTCTCCAAAAGCACCTGAGGGTAGGACAAGAAGCAATGTGTGGAAGCTATCAGAGGAAACCCAACCTGGAATTAAGGAGAAGCTTCTTAACATGAACATAAACTTACAAGAACTCCAAGGTCCCCTCCATCTCTGTTATTCTGATAGTGAGAACAATTTAAAAATGAGACCCTTTGTCTCCTGGAGTCATAGGTGCTCCACTGCTGGTGGTTTTAAAGAAAAGACTGGACAACCATTTGTCGTATATGTATAAGGTTCCCTGCCATGGGCAGGGAGTTGGACTAGAAGATCTCCAAGGTCCCTTCCAGCCCTAGGATTCTATTACTTTTGTATCCCCAACGGAAACAATGAACCCAGATGCCCTTTCTCCCGGAGGAATGAATCTTCCACATGGTTCAGGGACTGAACAAATGTGGAATTCTGTAGAGGACTTCCTGCATCTTTCATATCTTCTTTTTCTCACATGTGAAAAAGCCCTTGGCTGTTCACATGGATCCTAGGAAGCCCCTGGACACAAAGAAGAACAGGTTCTAATAACA